GTACTTTGACAGCATGTCTGTGAAGACAGCTGATGCTGCTTCTGTTATCCATGTATGTGCAGCTCCATGCATAGGCGCAAGCACCGCACGTGAGGCAGTGTGTGTTCTTCTGAATGCATGTCATATTAGGCCGTCATTAGAAATTGAAGATAAATGACCCTACCGTAGCGTGACAGGCACACGGTCCTTCAAACGTACTTCGAAAGCTTTTTGTGGAACCCCTGCTCTTTGTTGTTTTTTTTTCTTTACCTGCCTTTTGTTCTCTCCCACAATAACCCACATCTCCGCTTTAGTTGCGCACAAAGTTGCCTGAAGTTGCATAAAGTTCTATGCCGCTTGTGAGGTGGGTTTCCTGCAAACTATATGCAGAATCAGCGAATCGGCGGCTATAACGGTGAGATCATCAAATGTGATAATGTGATGTAATGTTAACAAAAAGATTGCGCATCTATATTTCCACCTTCACTTCCAGTGCGTCCGAGAGATCTTCAGCGACCTTTATTAGTAGATCAACAAAGCCGTCCGGGCGAGAATTGGCATTCCGATGCAGGAACTCATCCTTGATTCTCAAGTGGAACCTCTCACTTATCATAGTGTGTCGAGAATGGCATTTTTATTCGCAAACTAAGCCCAACTCGGTGTTCATTCTGGCAAGCAATACATCATAAAATTATCTCAAGTATCCACCATATAGTAAAAACTAGTACCAAGGTAGTTCCTCTCAAGATAAGTAGCCAGGAGCCCTTGATTTTTTTCGCGGACATACATAAGTATTTCTACGGAACGCCTCTCGAACTCGCCCAGTTGACCTCTTTTAGCAAGAGTTGGAGTGCGCTGTTGACCTTCGAGCGCAATGATGCCTAAAATTGTAAGCAAAGTTGGTTCGTGATCAACTGGACGGGTGTAGCCACAGTAATGTCGTCAGCGTACGTAGCGTAATCTACGACAGCAAAGGTAAGAAATAAACATCTTATTAGTATTGACAAACAAGAAGCGGAGGAACGAATAGGAGTGATCAACACAATATACAAAGAATAACAGGGAGGAGTCGGCTGCCTGTCAAAGGTGGTCAGCGTGGAGACGAAGGGCGCTACCGAAAGTCGTCCGTGTCGAGGCTACTAACCTAGTCCCTAAGCCCCATGGCTCCTTACAAGGGAAGGATGGTAGGTCGAAGTGGCCATTTGAAATGAAATGTATACCGGCTGAAAGGTCTTCGGACGGGAATTACGAAACCGTCTTCCATATCTGCTGCGGACCTCCCAGAAAGAAGTTACGGAGCTTTTTAGGGGAGAATACACTACAAATTGGCGGCGTAAGGCGAGATCGTGGCAGCATGGCCGAGTGGATACGTCGTAGGGCTCACGGATGCGTGGTCGAGGGTTTGGATCCTTGATGCGTGTGCTCTTTTGCATTTTTTCGAAAGTGGTCCCTGTGCACTTCAAAGCTATTTTGCATAACACTTGTCCCTGATAATTTCGTGACGTAATGATTCTGAACTGATGGAGCCATTCGGCCGCATCGTTTCATGGAGATCACCACCTCCGGCTGAAGAGATTGTCATACGAGCCGAAAACTTCCAGCAGATACGAAAACACTTTGAGATAGACATAATTCAACATTATGTGAGTGGTGAATGAAGCTCTTGCCCATCGCGATCTCCAGCAGCATATTGTCCAGCGTGAACGGGGCGCCACTTCAATAGGATAGCATTTTTCTCACTCCTCTCATGCTTCATGAGGCACAAATAGTGCGTTCTTGTTTCACAGTAATGTCAGTTTTGAAAAGTCATTTGAAGGCAAAATCTTCCTTTGGAGTGCACTTTTGTTGTATATGCTTTTCATAATCAAAAAAAAGAAAAAGACAAGAGCCAGAAGTGATCTCTATCGGAATGGTTCGCAATGGCTCCATCAGTTCAGATCATTAGCATCAAACGACATTATCAGGTGGCACAAGTGTTTTATGCAAGCATAGCTTCGGTAGAGTGCACAGGGACACTTTCGGGAAAAATCAAAAGAGCACTCGCAAATGACGCATCAAGCAAGCCCAAAACCTCGACGGCGAGCCTTGCAATCGTTAGCCTCGACGTGTCCACTCGGCCATGCTGCCACGATCTCACCACGCCCAATTCATAGTGTATTCTCCCCCAAAAAAGCTCCGTAACTTCTCTCTGGAAGGTCCGCAGCAGATATGGAACACGGTTCCGTGATTCCGTCCGGGAGACCTTCAGCGGTGATAAGCATTTAATATTCAAATGGCCAAATGGCCACTTCGACCTAGCATCCTTCCCTTGCTAGAAGTCCACACAGGCTCACGGCCACTTGGGCCGTATCACAGGGATTAGAAGGAGGGGAGTAGGCGGAAGAGCTTCAGCTTCGTTCACCAGAACGAAGCCACTAGACGAGAGATGAGCATGCCCCTATGGCTGATCCCCGCCTTTTATAGGGCCTCTCCCGCCTCCTTACTCTCCTCAGGCAATGCGTACTTTTTGCCAGCACGATCTCCTGGTCAATTGACCATCTACCGACGATTCGGAATTGCCTACCAGACTCCGATACGGTGGATCATTGATTGACCCACACTTCTTTCCTTCGGGCACTTTCTCGCGTCGAATCGACCACCCGGCTCTCAGATCATTCTTGATCCCCTACAAGGCCTTGCGCTTCCACGGCCCTCGTTCACCTGCGCGTGATTCCTCCGATCCTTACTTAACAAAATTCTGCTTTTTATTTCTTTTCAATACCGAACACGGAATCCCACAAACCTTCACAAGCTCTATTGTTTTCCTTTCCCACGTTTGCCATATATGGAACCTGCAAAAGTAAAGCCGTGTACGCGCTTCCGGGAGAACAGCACAGAATCCATTGTAAAAACACGGGCCTCATCTGTCATCATGGTCGTAGGGAAAAATTGGGCAATAAACTCCTCACTTCCATGAACAACCTCTGGACATCTGCTTTTGTCATTGTTCCACTGGGAAGAAAGGCTGAAAATGTTCATAGATGTAACTTCATAACTACTTGTGCTGACCCTCCTGGGAGACCGCGATCCTTCTCATCTGATACCATCAGGGTGACTAGTCTTAAATTATATCTGGTTGTATGAAATGTGTCGTCCAGCGAAACTCCTCTTCCAAAATACTTCCAAAATACTTTGCTAACCACTCGAGCATCAGTAGCGTTATTACAATTGAATTGTTTGCAATCGGCTAATTATGAGACAAATTAAGTGGGCATTATTTACCTATTACTGCCAAAAATACCAGGATTTTCGCTGAAATACCCGTGTTGTCTATGGAATTACTCGGTGTACTGATCATAGCGACATTCCTTCCGACACCGTTCTCAACAGAACCTATGCGTCGTATCGCCCAGTATGCAATTTTATGCCAGTTTTCTTCCATGACATTCGTTTATGGCCTTGGAAGGTGCCACTCAGGCGAAATCCGTTGCGCCTGAATGGCACCTTCCAAGGCCAAAAACGAGTTCATATCTGTGATAAAGTCACTAAATCAACTGTGGTCAAATCTTCAACGTTTCTTGAGATATTGGGGTATAGTCGAATAACGTCACGCTGAATAGTGTCTGATTTCATGGTGTCAAATTCTTTCTTACCCACAGATACCCATTCCACTGGGATCTTCGGGTAGCTGCAAGCACCTGATTCCAACGTCTGGATTACGCTCGCCAAAGCGCAGTTGCAAAGAAGTAAGGTCGTCATCATGTCTCCACTATGGAGCCATATTGTACTTCTTTATGATACTGCGTAGATCACGCTTCACAACTAACGACAGCTTAGAGGTCTTTGTTGGGTCTTCCTTGCGAAAACGGTTTATGATATAGTCCATGGAGTGATATACATTTTATAGTTAGAGATACTGCTAATACAAACAAGTTACCTTCAGGCAGATTCCTTTAGCATATCCTCTGCTGGTGTGAGAATCTCAGCAAAGCAGGATCTAGTTCGTGCCCTACATGTCCGAAGCATCCTTTCACCGCCACTCCATTTCATCCTCGATGAAGTTAACCATTAACCATACGTCACGAACAGTGACTAACATCCTTTCTGCTAGCCAACTCTCTGCGTTCCAGCCTGCCTTCCAGTGGACATGCGCGCACCAGCTCGGC